AAGGAAACATTACCCATTGAATTAGATATCCATTTACTTATAAAGAGAAAGCGGCTTTATATTTTCAAAAATAAATAGCTTATTCTGTCTCATGTCAACCTACCAGACTTGGAGAGAAAGTATCTGATTAGAGTAGTGTCGGCATTTATCTCTTTAGAGAAAGATAGAAAGGCTCCTGGGAACCTGCTGTGTACCGAGACATTACGGTAGGTAATTTAAGTATGTTTTCTTAATTTATCTTCAAAACAACCCAGGAAGATGGAAGGTGTTAATAACTTCATTTTATAAAAAAAACTAGGAAGTCCAAAGATTAAGCAGTTTATCTGCTGAGGTCACACAGGTAGAAAACAGTAGAACTAGAGTGTCTATGTATTATTTTATAAAGCTCACTGTGCATTTTTTAAAACTAATAATAGTTTATTACTTTTTGTTTTAAGAAAATGTTCACAGAATCAGAATGTTTACCAGAGAAGTCATAACCCTCCTCCTGGTCCCCCTGGAGAGGACCATTCACAGAGGAGGTACTCTTGGAATGTAAAGCCAAATGCCAGCCGAGTAGTCCAGAATCAGAGATGGTATTCTGGCAGTTACCACGGACTGTCCTATCCAACCTATTGTGGATGGACTGAGTGACACAAACCTATCCTGGAAATTTATCCGGAGACAGAACAGGACTGAAGATGGCTGGGGTGATTTTTTATAAGATCAGGTCCAATGACGTTTATAATCTATTCTATTTCTCCCTTATGTGTTCAAACTTAAGGAAAAATTATATTGATACTTATTAACTCTTTGCTGATTAACTCGCGGTATTTGCAACAGTGAAAGAAGTAATCTGTCGTTTCGGCCTTAACTTTTTTTTAAGGAAGATGTTATTTTATAACAAAGTAATAAAGAACATCCCTTGAACATAATTTTTTTTAATTTAAATTATTTTAAATTCTAACTTTTCTGTGTATTTCCTTTTGACTAGACTTGTGATATGAATGTGTGTATACAAAAAGTTTTAGTCATGTTCTATTCTGTCATGTTCTGTTATTGACCCAATCATTAAGAGTATCATTTTTTTGCCCCTCACTGTTCAAGATTTCTATTAAAATCTACCTGGGAGACAGTCTCTTTGAACCTAATCATTATTTGTAATTAGTTCTGGTCTTTTTATGATTAGAATTTTTTTTGGCAGTCTGTTGTGGGACTTGACCAGCATCCTTTCACTGAATTGCCAGATATACCATCTAAAACAGGAGTGGAGAAACTTTTAGGGATTGGTAGTCACAACTGGGGAAGAGAGATTGATTGATAAACCAGAATGCTGGGTAATTTATCTGACAAGGTATTGGTGTCAACTGGGTAGAACGATTCAGACAACTTGAAAACTTTCATAAGCTATAAAGGTTGCTTACTGAACAGACTAGGATATGACCTTTAAAGTCTGGGGTGTCTGGGAAGACTTGCATGGCTCCTTGTGTTTTTGCTGCTCTGTTGAACGTAATTTGCTGGGATCTATCTCCGCTTGCCTCTCACAGGGTAATGATGCCTTGACCTTGACTTTTTCTAAATTGTCTCTTTTGCTGGTATATCTCTAGGACACATAGGTAGATCACTTGGGGAGTGGTAATTATTTTTAGCTGCAGAGGAAGCTAGAAACTGTTGCTTAAGTATGTGTCTCACCATCATGACATCATAAGCCTTTGTAGGTATTTAATGAATATACTTGGGTAACTTGGCTTCATTTTTTAAAGCCTCTGATTTTGAAAATTTATATCAGAATGTGTGATGTGGTAGTTATTTTCTCTGTTTTCTTATATATAAGCAACATGTGGAACCTGACCCTAAGAAAGTAGTCTTTGATTAGCTCAGTCAAGTTGCTACCCTTCATCTAAGTGATGGCTTATATAGTTTTTCACTGCTCACCACATTTAATAAAGATATGAGTCTTTATTGCTAAAAGACTGTTCTTGTGGAATTGTTCCCCAGGATACATCATGGGAGCTCGACTGGATAGAAATTGGGAACAAGACAACTGGTGAGGCAAAAAAGAACAAGCAGGAGCAGGTATGGGAATCTAATGAGTCTAATAGTTTTAAGGAATTCCTTGGCAAGCAGTTTCTAGGGAGGACGTTGCCAGAAGACCCATCATATAAGCACTGCCACCTTCCAAAATCCTTTCTTGACCCTATTGTCTCCTCTATCCCTTCCCCCTTCTGTTTCAGCTATCAATAAGTCTTGTTAAAAACTAGTCTCCTTTTGCTATCTCCTGTCTCATTTATTCTTCAGCACGCTATAGTTCTGGCTTCAGCTCGTACCATACCATTGAAAGTTTTCTGGCTAAAAGGACCAGCCACTCCTTTTTCAAAAAGGTTTTTAGTGTTCTGTTTAAGCTTTTAAAATTTATTTTTATTAACACACACACACACACACACACACACACACAAGACGTTTAAAATTCAAATAGCTCTACCAAGATTACCATGAAGAAGAATAATCCCCAGCCACCAGCTACTCGATTATCACTCCCCAAAGGCATTCGCTAAGTATTTGCAGTCTTCTAGTATTTGCCTGTATATTTAAATGTCATGCATATGTTACCACTTATTGAATTTTCAATTTGTGATATTATCTATTGACTTCCTCCTGTGGAACATGAGGATTTAGCTTTTTCACAGTGTCTACCCACGTATGCATTTCTGTTACCTCATCTTTTCAGTGTAATTATTTTCCCAACTTTTGGTTAAATCAATACTCTAAGTTCAAGTTATTTGCTAGGTAAGTATCATTCACCCCCGAGCCATAGTATACCACGATTATGTTTTTCTTATACCTCTTTTCCCCCCTCTTCCTTGCCTCATTTGTTTGCCTCTTCTCTGTGCACCTGTCACTAATTAATCCCCCAGCTCTCTAATACTACTGTAACAGTTCTAACGTGGATAGGAGAAACACATCAGACTTGTTTTTGTTTGAAATCTTTCCAAATGGCATTTTTTCCCAAATACTTCATTGAAAAAAATCTTAGATATTAATATTGCAAGGAAAATATGTCCAGACCAATGATTATCACCACTAACTGTAACAAGTACACATTAAAACCCCAATTTTTTTTATCATAGTCCTCATCCCTATTTTAAGATTTACAAATACACAATGTATGTACATGTTGGAGGAGCGTGTATTTGTGAATTGATTCTTTTTTAATGAATGTATTATTTTTCTCTGAAGTTATCAATTATGTTTAGATTATTCTATTCTTTTTCCCCATTTTGCTGATGCCTATCTCTCATATTGAAGGTGTTACTGAAATATCTGGAGACTTTTACCCATTTTTCTGTACTTAGGATTGAGGCATTTAAGGCAGATGGAAGCCCTGGTTGTGTTGTGGATTTGGAGTAAGGTGGTTAGCTTACTTCGTGTTTACTTTCCCATGCTTTACACACTTGAGTTTTATTTTTCTCCATTGTGACCATTACCATCTCTGATAATTTTATTGTTCTCTCTCATGTACCATTTGTCATATCTCCCATTTTCTTCTGAGTTTTTCTTCTGTAAAAATTCCTTTACTGTCATTTTGAATAGGGAGTAGAGATAGAGGTATGAGTTCAACCCAGTCAATGTAATGAGACTGTAAATAAGTCAATAAAATTGGGTTTGGGGTTTACCCTCAGTCTGGTAATCTTAATTTTTATGCATCATGTCCTGGGAGTATATGCCATTGAATACCCTAAGTCATGATTTGATCTTAGAGGGTCAACCACAAACACTTCTACTATAGAGGGAGACCCCATCCAGAGTCTTCTCTGAACCACCTTTCTAATGTACTTCTAAAAACTGCCCCCAAATTATGTCCTGAAAACAAGTTCATTCATATTATTCCCCTCTGGGAAATCTTGAGTGGCTATTGGCTTTCAGAATCCACTTCTGACTCCTTGTCGAGGTTTTCTGTGATCTGACTCCCAGCTGACTTTTCAAAGTTTCTGTCCTGTCCCACTCCATTTATCAGTGTGCCAGCCATTTTTTGAGTACGTTATGTTGCACACATTTCTGCCACCATGTTTTTCTCTTACAGGTTGTTGCTTGGCTGTAATAGCTCTCCTGTGGTCTCTGTGAGCAAATCATTCTCATTTTCGAAGCCCCATTCCCTCAGTAAAACCTTTTTCCCAACTCTATTCCCCTACTGATTATTTTTCTCTACGGTACCTACTTTCAGCATTTAGCATTGATTTAATTTATATCTCCTGTTATATGAAACAGATTCTAAGCCCGGTCTCACATGTCTTCAACCCTCTCTTTCATGATTGTGCCATCTGTCACCTAGACCACACTCTTCTTTATTGCCTTGCCAGCAAACCTTATTGTGCTCTCTAAGCTGACCAGAGCCCAGGTTAAACTGGGCCTGCATGGTTGTCATGACACCCCCAGCAAGCCGTCTCTCTGCTCAGTCATCCCTCCATTTTAGGTTTGGAGGAAATGCCTCAGGATCTGAGTGAGATGATGATCAGAAGTGTGGAAGAGTTAGCTCCCACAGCCGACTTGATAAATGGAACACAAAAGACAGGAGTTGTTTGGCAGGTAAATTCCCCCTCCTATTTCCTGTAGACCACTCTCAGGAATGGTTTTTCCTTTTAAGTCCAGAAAAGTCCAGCCTGCTGAGTGAACACTCATGCCAACCAGAGTGTCTTTCTGGCTCATTATGAAGTCAGCCAGTGAGGAAATCCATTACCTTACATTGCTTTGCATCTTTCCTTGCTTCACTTTCCTTTTTCCAAACCCCTCAAATAAAAATCAGCCCTTTATTCCTTGCCTTAGGCTCTGCTTTCTAGAGGACCTAGGTAAGACAGTCAAGTATTTGTTAATCTGGCAGAGTCGTTTTAGTTGGTCAACCATGCATATAAGAGTGGGAAGTATCAGAGTTCTTCTACCGATTTGACATTGAGGTCCTACAAATATTTATACCTTTTAGGAATTGAGAAATGTCAATTACATCCAAGGTAACAGTTTTTCAAGAAGTACAGGTTTCATTTTGCAGGTTATTTTCACATGACATGGGAACAGATTTTGAAGTCTGGGTGTCTTCCAGGATCCACTTGTTCAGATAACACTACCAAGGTTAGATTCATTTTAACAGATGGTAACAGTTATGCATATTTATGCAAGCCTGTATATTACAGAAGAGAACAAGGTTGATTTTATGAAAGTTCTCAGTTAACACTTCATTAAATCAGATCTTTTGAACTAATTTTATGATGCATAATGATCTCTCTTCTGCAACTTTAGGTAGAGATCATTTTAACCTCTGAGATGACTTTAAAAAACAGTAAAACTCATTCTTTTTTTAGTGTATAGTTCTATGAGTTTTGACAGATACATTCAGTTTTATAACTATAATTGAGTACAGTTTCATCACTCCCGAAAATTCCCTCATGTCACTTTGCAACCTACTACTCCCAACAACCCTACACTCTGGCAACCACTGATATGTTTTCAGTCCCTGTAGTTTTGCCTTTTTTGGAATGTCATGTAAGTGGAATCATACAGTATATAACTTTGTGAATGTGACTTCTTTCATTCATTGTAATGCTTTTGAGAGTCATCTATGTCACTGAGTGATCTATAGTTAATTCCTTTTTCATTAGTCAGTATTCTGTTATATGGATCTACCACAATTTGTTTATCCTTCTGCCAGGCAAAGGATTAGGTTATTTCCACTTTTTGACTTTTGAACAAAGATGCTAAAAATATCGTGTAAAGGTTTTTATGAGCATATGTTTTCCTTTAGAGCGGGATTGCTGCTTTGGAGTGTGTTCGATTTTATAAGAAACTGCCAGAGTACAATTTTACATCCCTGCCAACAAGGTAGAGGAGTTCCAGTTACTCATATTCTCACCAGCACAGTATTGTCAGTTTTTTCTTTTATTCTTGTTGTTCTAATACAGATGTAGTGTTGTCTCATTGTGATTTTTAAAACAGCTTTAGAAATATAATTAACACACATTACATTGTACATTTTTTAAAGTGTACAATTTGATACATTTGACGTGAAACCATTACAAGATAAAACATACCTATTACCCCAAAGTTTCCATGTGCCCCTTTGTAATTCCCCTTTTCTACTCCAGGCTCTTTAACCAAGCTACCACTGATCTGCTTTCTGCCACTATAGTTTTATATAAATGGCATCATACAGCATGTACTATTTTTATGTCTTTTTTTCATTCCCCGTAATTATTTTAAGATTCACCCATTATTATATGTAGCAGTAGTTGATTTATTGCACAGTTGCAGTATAATCCTTTGGACAAACGTTTTCATTTCTCAAGGGTAAATACCAAGGAGTGAAATTTCTGGGTATGGTACATATATTTTATAAATAACTTTTGATTATTAAATTATGTGTAATTTGCCAAGAAACTGCCAAAGTCTTTTCTAAAGTGGTTTTATGTTTTCTTGAGACCAACAATACTTGAGGATTTCAGTTGTTCCACATGTTGGACAACACTTGATATTCTCAGTCTTTTAAATTTTAGTCATCACATGGGTGTTTGAGTAGTCATCTCATTTCATTTTCAATTTGCATATCTCTGATGGTTAATGACGAGCATCTGTTCATGTTTTTGTTGACCTTTTATATATCGACTGTGGCTTGTCTGTTTAAATATGTCTCCCATTCTTAATTAGGTTGTTTCTCTTGTGTTTGAGTTGTAGGAGTTCTTTACAGAATCTGGATACCAGTCTTTTATCAGGATAAATAATTTTCTCCCATATATATTCCCATTGTGTTCAAGCCACACGCTTCTCTTTGCTATCCCGAAAACAGGCTAAGGCCTTATTATGTGTCTCAGAGCCTTTGAACTCTCTTTGTTGCCCGGAATGCTGATTTCCCATATACACACAGCTTGCTTCCGGACCTCCTCTAGTCACTGTTCAAATGGCCCTGTTTGGTGAGATATTTCTTAACCATTCTATTAAAAATAGTAATACACTCACTTCTGGACTTTCTCCCATTTATTTTTTCCTCCATAGCACAAATGCACACAACAGCTGTATTTGTTGTTTACCTGTCTTCCAGTGTAAAGGAAGGCAGCTGTGCTCACCCCTATAAACCAACGCATTCCTGTGTAAAGGAAAGTATTGACTAAGATGAGCCCCAACCTATAAAGAACATGGAAAATATTCTCTACAGCTTATTCAGGGGATTACCTCCTCTCAGCGATGACAAACCAAATTCCAGAGCCTGGTAGATGAAGAGAGGTTGACTTTATTAATGTAGTCATTGATCTCTTAAGTACTCAGGGCAAATCGCCAAGCATGGTGGGATATACGAGATCCTCCCTAAATGAACTCTAGGAAGGCAAAAAGTAGCTTGAGCCCCACTAATTGAGGAGAGGAGGATTCTGAAAAATGCAAAGGAAAAGGCTTGCAGAAATGACTGACTCAGCTGGTTAAAGCCAATTCCTAACTGCCCTCTCCCCGCTTCCAGGACTCTCAGCTAACATGTTTTCCCATAGCTACCTCCCCCACCTCAAGGACTCTCCAGCTCACACCTGTTGATTCATGGCTTGCCAGCCAACTAATGTCCTTATTTCAGTAGCTGTGTAGGAATAACAAACTATAAAACTGCCTGTTATGTTACAATTGGGGCTCAGCCTTTGGATAGCATTCTGCTGAGCAGGTGCTGGCATTAATAAGTGCTTCCTGCTTATAGCCTCCGTGTGGAGTCTCTCTGTTTGAGAATCCTGTAACAGTGCTGATAAGCCAATGTCGCAAGATAAACGACCTGTAAAAACAGTGGCCTGAAAATTCCTCCCCCCAACACCTACCACCGGAAGCTCTCCATTCTATCCTGAGTCATGAAGCACACGTGAAACCTTAAGGGAATCACGCGCCCCTTGCATGGACACTGCATTGGTAAATAAACTGTAATAAATCGAACCAAAGCCAGCTCCTGCACGGTGGTGGTAACTCCACGCACTCCGCCGGCCAATAAATTCTTCCTCTAACACGGTTGTCTGAGAGTCGAATTTCCTCTGAGGGGTGTCGCTTCCTGCAACACCAATTGCCCTGGGGAAAAAAAAAAAACTTGAATGTCATCTAGCGGAGACAAATGTATGTAGAGCACACGTTGACCAAGATTTTGCACAGGAAAAAAGTAAAGACGTCGCGTCCAAGGCCTAGTACGGGTGAGAGTCAAGGCCGAGACTGGCACCTAGACTCCACCCCGCATCCTTTCCGCACAGCGCAACCGCCAGAAGTGATGATCTGAGGCTCTGGCTCTCACTCGCGTCGGTTCACAGGACTCAGTGCTGAGGAAGTAGGGCTCTGGGAAGGGCGGGCGGGAGGGAAGGCGGCCCGGAACCTTTTGCGGCGACCGGGAAGACCTTGCGGCCTCGGAGTGGGGGTGGGAGCGGGTAAGGGCGGTGCTGCGACCAAGCTTCCGGAAGTGGAGGGCTTTGTTTCCGAGGGGAAGATATTCCCAGACGAACGCGGGAGGCGGCGGTGAGTCCTCCCAGCGCAGGAGGTGGCCCGGCAGTGTTGGGAAGAAGCGGCTGGCGGTGGGAGAGCGGGCGGGCCAATACCGGCCATCTGTAACCCGTTTTTTTTTTTTTTTTTTTTGGTCACGCTTGGGGTCCCCCCCCGGGCCCCACCCTGCAGGCAGTGGGGGCATGTGATAATTTTTGAGTCACGCTTGGGGTTCCCTCCGCCGTTGTTTATCGAGCCTTCCCAGGGCCAGGCCCTAGGAATCCAGCACGGAAGGTATAGACTCAGTCTCTCCCCTCAAGGTTTCTACAGCTTAGAGAGGCTGCATAAAACAGCTCAGCTCTCGAATCACTGAAGTTGTGACAAGGGCTAAGAAGGAGCTCGTAGAAGAGAGGCCCAGCCCCGGGGCTCTGAGCGCTCTGGGAAATGGACTCCGAACAGCGAGTTGAAAGGAGGGAGGAATTGAGTGAGTGGAACTACGTGTCCGAGAGGACAGAGTTGGGGAGAAAGCTTGGTGACGAAGCTGAGGCCACTGCGGCGAAAGAGCGCAGTCGGGGGAGAGGTGCACTTGGCAGCAGAAGAGGGAGGAAGGGCCCTGGTCATAGAATCTGGAACGCTTTGAGGTAAAGTTGGGGCCTTATCAGAAGAGTAGCGGAAGGACAAGATTTGGTTTACGATTTTGAAAGGATCACTTTGCCGGGTAGTGGTTGTACGATAGAAGGGCAGGAATTGTGAGGCGATCACTCCTAGGTGGCCCCAGCAGTACATGAGAGATGGTGGCCTAGGGCGGCGGCAGTGGGTAGTGGAGAGAAGTGGACAGGTCAAAATGTTGTTTAAACGGTAAAATTGGCACGACTTTCTGGGTTAGATACGGGATTTGAGGTGATTCTAAATGTGCGGCCTAAGTGAGTGAATTATAGAAAACAAGACTATTTTAATGTGTCCTTTTCCTCCTAGTGTGAAGTCAAAAACCAGAAATTTTTTTCCTCCCTGATTATATATACTCATTATATGCTGTGTGCTCCCTGTGGAAAACTCAGAACATGCACACAAACATTTTTTATAGAGAACAGTAAAAATTACCTATAACACCGTTACCCAAGATGGTCCTATTTTGCTGTGTTTCTTAAAGGTTTTGTTTTCTGCGTACACGTTTTGGTATAATTGGGTATATATTTGTTATATCTTTCTGCATTATTTTCCATTGGACATTATCATGACAGTAAAGATTGAACTGCTGTATGCCAGGACATCATTGACAGATATTTTTTTCCTGATTGTAGCAGAAAGTCAAATGTAATTCCACCAAGCCAGGGATAACTTTTGGTGAATTTTCCTTTTAATGTTTTTTTCTTTGTGTGCACCTTTTTGGAAACCTCACAGTTTATGCCACATTTTATGTTTTGTTTTCCAATCAGATGTGTTTACTTAATGTTATTTATTGCCATTTTCGCGTGTCTTTAACTACTTCAGGATTTCAGTTTTTAATGACTGTTTAGTCAGAACCAGTCCCCCTGTTATTAGATAAAACAAGTTTTCAGCTTTTTACTGTTAGGATGATGAGAGGGACATCTTATTAATATAAATTCTCAGGTTTCCAATTTGTTCCTTGAGGACAAGTCCTAGAAATGGAACCTACTAGATAAAAGGTTAAAAGGAACGTATCAAATTGCCTCACCCAAATATCTCAGTAAGACTTTGATCGAAATTGTTTCAGAGATCACATTTTTGCAATACTTTGTTTTTCTACCCAAAGATATAGTTATGTCTTTTTAGTTATTCAAGTTGTCTCTTATTGGTGTTTTATATCTTTTCTTGTAAAACAAGTCTAAGAAACGGCCTGTATTGTTGATTATTTAATAATTATACCTACTCTGCTTAAATTGCAAATGTGAATGAAATCTTTGAGTCACATGTCTTTCCTGTAAAATTATTTTCTCCTTAATATATGACTCGGTTCTGCTAAAATATAAATAAAAGAGTGAGATCAGAAAGGTAGAAGGATAAGCTGGAGTGAGATTTTATTAATTCCATATGTAACCGGTAGTCTAAAGAGTTCCAGGTATCCTGCTCCTAGCTGGGTTGGGGAAGCAGCCCTTGCTATGCATCTGAGTTTACCTCATCTGTACAATTGGGAACCAGCCAGCAACCTCGATCCTTTCCCAGGAATGACTAACGAAGCAAGGAACAGCTCATCAGGATTAGAAAGATAACATCTCATGAGGATGCTTTTGGAGTTGATTTTAGTTTAACAATTCTATCATTAAAGCTTTTAAAATGTACTTGTTAGCAAAGGTATTTGTTTGTTAATGAATTACAATGTTAACTTGTAAATAGTAATGTTAACTTGTGTTTTTGGTTTTATGCAATAGAATCCTGCTTATCTATGAAATGCAGTTAACACAACAGCTAGACCTATTTCCCGAATGCAAGGTGACCCTTCTGTTATTTAAAGATGTAAAAAATGCTGGAGTCTTGAGAAAAAAGGCCATGGAAGGCGCCATCGTTGGATCATTAATTAACCCTACAATGGTAAGTACAAGTGAGAATGAGTGAGCCGTATGGGGCATTTAAGAATATGTTAATTTTCCATGATGTTATAGGTTACCCTAAAATGGTCATCTTTGGGGAAAATGTTCTTGTCCAAGCTTTGGAGTGGAGTCAGATTTGTCCAGCCTGAATTTAACAGTGAATAGCAGCTGAAATGCCAGGCGCTGCCCTAGGAGACCAGGAATGTTGTAGTCTGGCTCTGACATAATGGCAGATGCCTGGATCTCCATCTTATCTGAATGAGAAAATCTCTGCACAGCAGGCATTGCATAGTAGTGAAAAGCACACACTGTGGAATCACATTGCCAGGACTTGATGCCAGTTCTGCCATTCGTTATGACTTTGAGCAGGTAGTAGCCAGCCTTTATAGAGCGTTCGCTGTGTTCCTGGCTTTACATATACTTACATTGTTCTCAGTGCCTTACATATGCTGCTAACTCACTTCACAACAACTCTGTGAAGTAAATACTACGATCACCTGCATCTAACAGATAAAACACTAGGGAATTTGCCCAAGTTCCCTTGGTGGTAAGTGACAGAGCTGGGATTCCAACCCAGACATTCTTTGCCTTGGTGTCCTCATCTACTGCATGTGCTTAATAATATGGTTTCATAGAGTAGTTTAGGAATTAAGACAGGTATGAAATGTTTAGAATATGGCCTTTGCCATACAATGAGCCCTCAATAAATGTTATTTTTAAAACTTTTACTATTTGTTTTTTGCAGCTTTAAAAATCTGTGATTTTCTGAACACCCAGGCCCTTGAGATAGCAACTTTGAAAATATAGTCCATGGGAACTGTGATAAAGTGCAACAGCCTGACATTAGAGTTACTGGGAGATAGGGCATGCACCTTCAGAGTGCTCCAGAATCTCTGTGTGTAATTCTTTTTGTTCTCCTTGGTAGATCATCGATCCATTTCAGGTAGTTGTGGCAGCAAACAAAGCAGTTCACCTCTACAAACTGGGAAAAATGAAGACGAGAACTCTATACACTGAAGTTATTTTCAACCTTTCCCCAAATAACCATGTAATTACTCTGAATTTTGCTTACTTTATTTCTGTTGACCTTGTCCTGATAACATGTGTTCCCCAGTGTTGGGTCGGAGGCTAAATTCCGGTAAACCTAGTGTAAATGACAACCAAAATGATAAATGAAGAGAGCTCTGGACAGAGAATTAAGGTTTAGCACTGCCTCTTACTAGACAAAGAAGATTTGGAATTTCTTCGCATATAAGTAAACAAAAGTTTGGCTAAGTGAGGATAGTTTATCTGTCCCTCCTGGCTACATGGGATCAGGAAAATCCCTCTAAAAGATAACTAAATCTAAATGATGAAACGTTAGGTATGGATATTTGTGTGTCATCATACACATCTTTTATTCTCCTTGTTAACTCCTTGAGGAAGAATCCATGTCTTCTCCATATAACACAAGGCTGTGTGGTACCTAGAACAGCCTTGAACACAACATGCTCATTCACATACCCAGTACATAAGAAGAGTTTGTGGTTTGAACTTCTGATAGTAATGAAAGTTACTGAACTGAAGACATTCCACATGTGGCATGTAAAAAAAACATGAAATTTTACTGATGAAGTTGTAGTATTATTACTATTAATAATACATCCATGTCCTAATGTGAAGAGAAAAATCAGGAAACCTGTGGCATGGTTTAAAATACAGATGTTTGAACAATTTATAAAATGCATGGTAACAGGGTTCCCCAGTACCTGGAGGAAAAAATTACCTGATAATTTTTGTTTCTTTGAGATTGTTTGAAATAATTCCAGAAACTATTCAATTCAGTAAACAGCTGTTGAGCTTGTCACCTGTTCCAGTATTCCAGAAACTATTCAATTCAGTAAACAGCTGTTGAGCTTGTCACCTGTTCCAGTTACAGTTCTAGGAGCAGAAGAAACAATATGTTCCAGAGGAAGGCAGATGAACAGACAGAAGTTCAGATGCCCTAAGATAAATGATATAATGGGGATAATAATTCAAATCTGTGGGAACAGCAAAGAACAATGCAGTCTGTGAGGAAGAAGTTACAACGGGGAGTGCCGTTTGAACTGGACCTTGAAAGATGAGGGCACTCCAGGCAGAGGACCGAGTATAAGTACAGGCAAAGAATTTGAAATGAGATACTTAGTCCAGACTGGTTAGAGGGCAGGAGTGGATGACTGAGGTTTCACTTGGGGCCAGAAGGAGTGGGTGTTTGTGTGCCATGCCAAGAGGTCTGGGCTCGATTCCATGGGAATAAGGTGCACCTTTGAGCAGAGAGTTCTAGAGGCAGAACTGGTAGATGTTGAGAAGGGATTATTAAAGAGAAAAAGTATAGACAGAGGGAACTCTTAGGATATGGAAATAACCTGAGCCGGGAGGAAGGCAGGTGGGGAGATGCTTCAGATGCAGAAACTACTGGTTCATTGTCTTTATTTTTCCTTAGATTTCAGAGGCTTTGAAAACATTTGGTACCTCAGCAAATGACACTTCAATTCTAATTGTTTACATTGAAGATGGAGAAAAACAAGTAGATCAAGAAGACTTGCTATCCCAGATAGAAGGTCATCAAGTTTCTCTGGAAAATCTTCCTGAAATAACAAATGTTACAGAAGTTAGAAAGGTTTGTGAATACACATTTGTAGAGGGCGCGTGGTAGGTTACATGAAGGACAGTACCCATGCCGTTTGCTGTTGATCAGCAGTGCTTCTATTTTTTTTTTTTTGAACTTTTAAGAAAAGTTAAAAGAACGAAAATTACTTGAAAAAGAGTTATAGATGCAAACAACTGGAAGATACAGGCTTATATAACATATAGGTAGAAACTTTGTTGATGAAAGCATTCTCTGTGAAAGAATAGATAAATATCAACCTTACATAGTACATCTCTAATAGTAAATTGAGTATGAAGTTAATGTGTAGATGTATGTTTTTAAAACTGGTGCAAATTTGGTTTCTATGTTTAGAGAGTTACCACCATCGGCAATTTGACATAAGTGACGAATTGCCACCTACTTTGCACATTTTCATTCCATTTGTAATTTCATACTATTGTCCCAATAAAAGTAATTTCACTTCTACATGTTTGTGTAATGAAAATTAGTAGTTCATGACTATCCACATGTCATAATTTGTCTTTTATTTTTACAGGTATATAAAGTATCTTCACCAGAAGAAAGTATTGGGACATTATTGGATGGTGTCATTTGTAGAATGTCAACAAAAGATGTTTTGTGAAATGAGAGAAATATAATTTTCTGCATTTATAAAAAACATTGATTTTCCTTTTATGTTAAAATCATTTGTATTTGTATATGTTCATTGTAGAAAAATTTAAAGCGCATTGATATAACAAAGGGAAAAAACCGACTTCTACCTCTTAATATTTTAAAAGTTTGCCACTGTTACAATTATTTGTTACTGTCTTCTATTTTCTATTTCTATTCAAATATATTTTATTTTTCTATAATTGGGATAGTAATTGCAAACATTTATTGGCTATCTACAGTGTAGTAGGTTTTTGCCTTACTGATTTTATGTCCACCAGCTCGTATCCCTGCCCTTACTTCTGAGTACGCTAGCATTTCCTTTTCAAGCCTCTTGTTTCTAAGTGTTCTACAACATTAATTTCATTGTCATAACACTTTATGTGGTAGATGCTGTTATTACTCCCATTTTACACACAGCCACTAACAGATCATAGTAACTTGCCTGAGGCCCTATGCTAGTGTAAAATGTTTTATAAATAGTTTGGATTTGCTCACTTTTTATATTTTGCTTGTATCAGTCAAGGTAGAGTAGATCAGAGGTCAGCAAACTTTTCTGTGAAGGGCCAGATAGTAAATATTTTTGGCTTTGCAGGCCGTCTGGTCTCTGTCGCATCGACTCACCTATTGCTTTTCTAGTGCAGAAGCATCTACAGACAGTACATAGCAATGAGTGTGGCTATTTCCATTAAAATTTTATGTGCAGATATAAGTAGTGGGCAGGACTTGACTCAAGGGCCATGGTTCGTGGACTTCTGGGTTAGGTTAGGCTGCAGTTCTGGTCTCTAAAGCTCACCGGTTCACATGAGAAATATCTTTCTTGCTCATTTAGCTAGTGTGAATCGGTAGGAAGACTCACTGCAGTGACTCAGGAACCCAGTCTGCTGAAGGCTTCATCTCGACATGTGCTCTGTGGATTACTGCGCAGCTAAAAGGAACACTCCGAATTATAAGGTGGCTCATAAAGCTTCCATGTGGAAATGACAGATACCGCTTATCTCTGGTTTCACTGTCCAAAGCCGGTCATGTGGCCCTGCCAACTTCAAAAAGGGTAGAGAAGTGTGATCCTGCCTCTTGCTGGAAAGTGGAGAGGTAGGGTTGCTTAGGGAACAAACGCGTGATTTCCCTCACGATCATAAAGTACAAAAGCGCACAGCTAACGTTTCCTGTGTGTATCGTGCTAAAAACGTCATACGCGCTACCTCCTTTAGTCCTCACAACAACCCCAAGATATTTTACGTGCGAGGAACCACGCTTGACCTCTCAGCTCTACTTCAAAAATTTCAAGCATACAAAACAGCTGAAAATAGTACAATGAACATTTATGCGTCTTTCATGTGAATTCACCATTCGTTAATATTTTGTTATATTTGATTGCTCTCCTTTTTACCTATATGCACATCACACACACACCTTTTTTCTTTTGAACTGTTTGAAAGCTAGCTGCAGACATGACACTTCATTCACCCTACATCGTGTTTAATTGTCATGACTTTTAATGTCTTTAACCTAAAACAATCCTTTTTACCCATGTCCCGTTTGCCCCGAGAGTACTCGCCAGTGGCGCTTGTGGCTGCAGCGTTGACCCCGAGATAAGTCGCAGGTTACAGTCCTAACCTTACCCCCAAAGTTTGCCATGAATTATGTCACTTTTATTATTTTTTCATTGCTCTAGTGTATCAATAGTCTGGAAACAAATGACATCATTCTATTTATAGAATTCTGTTTTTGGCAGTGATGTTCCCATTCACAAAACAGAGGAATTCTATTTGCTGAAAATGTCAAATCCTAGAGGACGTCACATTTTTACACGTGATGTTAACATCATTCGCAAGCAGTCGTTAGCCAGAGATTCATTTGATGAATCTGATTAATGTATACATTTCTGTTACATTAGGATTAAAGACAAGTTCTGTTTAGAAATGACTCCAAGAACAGTTTTTATGTTTTCACACTGAAAACCAGTCATGTGCTTCAGTCTCAAAGAGCGTGTTTATGTAAAATTAAATTAATGCTGGCGGCAAGCTGCACTTCTTTTTCTAAACGAGAAATGGGTAAAGAAAAAATGGTTCAGATATGTGCAACTGAGAGCTCAAATCAATAGTATACAGGGGCGCTTCTAGATCTGCAGACTAGTTCAGCACTTAAGGAAGCAGAAATTTAAAAAATCACAGTTTCTTCTCTTTAAAAAAATCTGACTTGGAGAACCGACTCAAGCAACAAGGTGAAGATTTTAAGAAACTGGAAGAGGAAGAAAAAGATAAAAGATAAAGGCAGGAAAAGATAATTCGGTGGCAGAATTAACAGGAAATTAAGGGGCATCTACTTTATGAAGAAGTATGTAATGAAACAAAACCTTTTCAGCTACAACGATGCATTTGAAGCAGAGATAGAGGCTTTGTCGAATGAACGTGGTGCTGCTCAGGAACAGCTAAATCGATTCATATGTTAAATGATTAGGTCAGAATCTAAAAGAAAAAAACCAAGCATGTGAAATTAAAAGATGAAAACAGACAACTCATGTCAGAGGGGTCAAAACTCTGCTCTCAGCTTGTCAAAAAAAAATAATAAAATGACAAGAGAAAACTTCAAAAGGAATTGAATGCAGCTCTGGGTATCAAACACTGATCTTTCAAAGGCTTTTCTTCCTGAAAGTAAAGAAACTTTTCCTCTCAAATCCCTGTTAAAAGAAGGCATTAGACATGGACAATGGACCAGGGGTCACCAGAGGGAGGAGGGAGGGGGAAGGGGAGAGAGAGATGCGGATGGGGGATTGGGGGCGAATTAAATCATTTCTTCAATTAAAAATAATAATAAAAAGAAGGCACTAGTTACTGCTGTTGAAGTCCTATGGAATTTCAAGCAAAATGCAAGTAAACCTCAGAAACACCTGTGGAACATTATTTTATTATTACTTTTGTTTTTGCTGTGGTGATTATGTTTGTAATGAGTATTTTTGAATGTGTTTAATATTAATTTCCTGTCCTTAGGTATGAAAAAGGAAGTTTAATATTTTTACCAGTATGTCTTCTGGTCTTTATTTTCTATTGTCAGTACCTCCTCCTTGACACTCATTTTATCACCTCATTCTAAACCTCCTTGACGTTCCAGCTTTACAACTCATCCCATGAACTCAACCTTCTTTTAAAACTCACTCTCATGGTATTATTCCCTTTTTCTAAAACCTTAGGTGGTTTCAGGATTCTAATCGCCAGGTTTTGTAGGTTGATATTCAGGGCTTTTCTAATCTGAACCTCTTAATCTAGGATAAAACACCTTGGCTTGTCCTTGCCTCTCCTCTGATTACGCTAATCGTGTTCATCTCTGGTACCCATGGTCCATTCATCCAGTCGAAGTGAGAAATGAAGGCATGCTTAACTCCATTGTAATCTCTTTGTCTCTTATCAGAGTCACTGAGTTGGTCAATAATTTGCAGATTCCTAGACTCCATCCAGTCTCACTAAAATAAATCTGAGATTTGGCCTGAAAGTGTGCATTTAAAACAAACTAGATTTAATTCTTAGATATACTAGAAATCCGAGAATCCCTGGTCTTAACCTCTTCAGAGAATGTCTTATACCGATTGGCATCCGCTGTCTGGTTGCGGATAAGGAACGTGCAAGGCCTGAAGGGGTTAAGCCAGGTTTATTGTAGCAGAGTGGGAGCAGAGTTGAGACGAAGATGGCGTCAGCCCCAAGCGAGTGGACCTGAAACTTACTTGGGGCTTGAGGCAGGCTTTTTCGATGGGAATATTTCGGGTGAGTAAATTGGCGGAGACAGGAAGAAAGTCTGGTGAAACGCGTGTAGTGTTGCCAACCCGGACGTTGCAAGGTGCGGTTCCCACACAAAGGTAGGGGAGGAGTCTAGGTCCCGGCTCTCCAGGGTAGGGATAGGGTGCTCCTGGACCTAACATCGACCTGCCTACTGGGTGTTCGGTTATGTTTTTGTAATATGACATAAAGTCACGCTTTAAGTCATTAACCATCCCGAAAAGTAAAATAATGATGTTGACATTTTTAAGAAGTACCGTACAAGTCTTTCAGAATTCCACTATCGATTTGTTCACGATTCGAGGTAGTTTAAATCTTTAGGGGAATAGTAGTACATAGATTTTTGTGTCCTCGTTTCTCGTCAAGAGGCACATAATGTCAAGTAAATCTTTGTACTTGGTTCTCTTTTGGGTAGCTTCCTAGAAGGGGAATTTTGGGGGTGGGGGATATACACTCCTTAAAGGCTTTCAAAACCGGAAAGGTGCCAGTTTGCACTCCCAGTATGAGAGTACACACATGCCGGTCTCAAGAAGCTCGCAGGCAATGCCCTTAACTTGTAAGCATATTTGCCATTTTGAGATGTCAGACTCTGGTGAAGTTGAACTTGTATGTGTACTTGTTTGTATGTTATGAAGAGTGGTTTTACAGGTTTTCTTTCTGTAACTGTAGTTGATGTTTCAGCTCTGCGACAAGAAGAAACCAAACACAAAAAAAAAGCAAACAACAAAAAAAAGCAATGCCATTTCCTGGGAAAGAAGAAGTTAACGTAAGCTCCATAAGACTTTCAGAGAAAGTCATTTTGAGCCAGTTTAGGAACAGTGTCCTTTACAGGAACCAGGTAGCTCCAGAGCCTAAATCCTCCACCTGCAAAAACAACCGTTTGTTAGAGGGCCTTGGGTGCTAGGGGGGAAGGGATGCAGATTGGTAGGTCACATGGATTTGGTTACTTAGACAAGGATTGCATATTAAAGGAAAAGGTTGGGTGTCTCCCCTGTAATCGAATAAGGTGAGGGAAGGGGATTCTGTAACTAGGTGATCATTGCTCCCCATCTCCCCAGTCTTGGGAACAACCAAGGCTGTGAGTCAGCTCAGAGGAAGGGTCTTTAATCCCCCATCCTCTGCTGGCACCCTCTCGACATGGACTCAAAACTACAGGAACGGATCATAAGCCCTGTGCCTCGTTCTCAGGCTGTTCCAGACACAGCTAGTGCTCCCCCAGGCCACTCCCCTACTAATTCCTGGTGATCACAGAGGTGAATGAAAAATCAGCTCCCTGCCCTGTCATAGCTAAGCTTCTTGATCCTGAGGTTTATGATTATCAGATTTCCAGGAGCCAGCCAATGAGGTGGCGCCCAGGGCCTGCTCCACCTCTGGGGT